GAGTCGTTATTCGAAAAAATATTAAAACGTAAAATGAATACTTTAAAACTGAGATGAAAAATTGCCAAACACTACACAATAAAATCGAACGTATCAGCAAAACCACTTTTCGTTTGATTGGTAGTAGTTGAACGTGTTTGTCCAAACATTTTATTCCAAAGATGGTCAATTCGAAACCGCAATTCGTACCTGTAGCTGAATGATCCATCAGGGTTCAATTCGTTAGACTCCGATACAATGGGAACAAACGCACGGTTGCTATAAGATTGTGCCTGCTGCTGATACTGTGGCTGTAGCAAAGAACTCTGCCTGTAAACGTTTTGTGGAGCTGCTAGAGCTACAGTTAAAAAACATCCAAAAGCGATCTGTAAAAAGAAACACAACCGTAGAATAAATAGAGAAAAAACCAACATGTGGGTGTTGCATTRAGAAGCTTTATTATTTTAAMGCAAATTCAATAATTTTTGTTGGCTTAGGTTTATTCATTATCCATAGGCTGTAGGGTGTGCAACGATTTTGAATTTGAGTAAAAATATCTTGAAAAAGATGAAGAATAAGAAAAAAGGTTGAATGGTGAAGAATGAAGAAAAGACAAAAGTTCTAATTGGAACTGCAAATCRCAGAAGAAATTGTTTTTSTATGCGAACAGAGTGCGTCTAAAATAAGGATCGAGAACAGTGTGCAAAACAGAAATATTTTAAATGGTATGATCTATCCAAAGATAGATRATGATAGAAGCTAGTTAGTTAGTTTATTTTTCWCTCGGCTTGTCTGCGCGATATCGAATTATTTTGCCTTATCTCGTCCAAATTTCTAAAAGAYATATTTTATAAGATTATTAGATTCTCAGTGAAAGTGGTGGAATTTACGATTTGTTCATTAGGCCTTTTTTGACCAGCATGTCCAKAMGCCGCCTSTTYATTCAGTTTTCAAATTATTCTTATCGAATCCAARCGATTTATATTTCTGTCGCACATATAAGTGACAATTTGATTGAACCAAYTCGTTTATACAATGCAAAATTAATGGTAATATCATAAAAATTCGCAGGAAAAAACCTATAAATACGACAACCACTTAGAATGCTGAATGCCTTCTTCTATCGAAGAAACAGAATGACTACTTCAGTTTTACTTGTTAAGCAACGTTCCTTTTCATGTGGTTTCAAAGAAAAAACTGTTCGCCTTAATGGGCAATTCATCATATTTCAAAAATCACAGTTGTTTGATCAAACATGAATCAAAAAGAAACATTACAAGAGTTAAAAAATTAAAGCGATTTTTTGGTGGCTTAATATTAATTTTATTGGATTATTTAAATCAAGATACTAATCGCTAAAAAATCGCTATATTCACCTTAGACAAAGTAATAATAATGTCCTCTTTAAACCAGTTTTCCTGCCACTTTCCTCCCTGGCAGTGAGTAAAAGTTTCATTATGATTAACATGGTCAGATTAATCGTATGAGTATGGAAACCTAAATGATTAATTTGCAATATAAAATTTGTTGTTCTTTACTTCATAAATTGTGAGAATGGTGAACATTAACATTAACAAGTAATAGAGAATCTTTTAATTAATTATCTAACATGGTAACCTCTGGTTAACACCAAAAAATGCGGTTAATGCGTTAATGAAAAAGCCAATACATGCAAATTTTTCAAACGTTTAAAAAAGAAACAAATAAAAACGTTTACAACGTTCGGGAACTAATGGCAACAACGATTGTTGATCATTAATATTAATGAAGTAAATTTCGTAAATTCACAACTAGTTCTTTTCTGCAGAATCCAGGAAATGTTAAGGCATCTAAAGAACAGATTAATAAATACTTTAAATGTTACGAATCGTATTATTAATTACAAACCTTTTTTTTAAGTTATTTTCTCAAAAATGTAGAATTTTACACAAGATTTTGCTCAAATATGTAAGGGATGGTACAGGTTTTTTTTTTTATATGAAATTCGGAATAATCAGTAAGGGCAGTCTGGATCTTTATTGTTCATGAAAGGAACATAAAAATAGTAAACTTTTAGAAAATAACAGTAACATTTCTGAATCGTTTGTTGCAAATGTTTTCATAAAGGATTGATACCCATTTCTAACTAATGGATTGTTTTAGTATTAATTGAAAATATTCTGAAAATCAAACAAACAGTTTTTAAGTCACATTTAAATTTCTACAATATCTATGGGAAGAAAAAAAGGTAATGAAGAATTAACCATTGTGAAAAGCTTTAAGAAACTAACCAACTGAACTACGGTAAAATAATTTAAATTCAAAAAAATTTATATTCTTTATTTATTTTCAAGATCGCTAAGAAATATTATCATTTTTTTTGTGTCGAAAGTTTCAAATACACACCCCATTTTCCTATACAATTTCCCATTCTTAATTGAATCTACTATATGAATTATTTATTTAACTTAAATGGTGAAGACTTTAAAGTTTCTTGAATCATACTTACCAGAATCATATTTGCTACAAAATAATCCACAAAGAAATAGTCAGAAACAGACAACTGAACACAACTACCAGATTCTGTATCACAATTTCGTTATGCCCATGTGATGGATTGGCTGTATATTTATAATGAGCCCCCACCGGATCCTTCCATTTGGATCATCTCAATTTGGCACACCCTACCCTAAAATTATGCATCTATTAAAGAAGATGTATGCACAAGGTCGTTCTTCAAATTTTCTGGTGCTTCATTCCTATGTAGTAGGCGGCATTTATCATCTTGGTTTGTTACGTGATCGCTATGTGGGTACAAATTGCAATTTTGCAAACTATTTAATAGTGGCCAGACACTTATTTTGATTTTGAAAACTGAATCTATTAGACGATTTTGGTTATTTATAACGTCGCTTGTCTTAGCAATTGGCTGAAGTGAATGGCGGTAAAATCGTCATTTTATGCTAAAATTGATCTTTAATAATCTCGTCT